TGGACATGGAGTCGCTACTGGTGGAATTATTCTGGACAAATCTCTTTATTTGTTCCTTCTCTTCCTGCACAGGGTTTTTGTCAGTTCATCTCCACTTTCCTATCCGTTTCCTCCAAAGGGAGTTGCTTGAATTCAACAGCTTGAGACAGTTCACCACATAGAACAATCTGTTGTTTTATAGCTGAATTAATCCAGCAACTGAATTAATCCAGCCTGTATCTCCCCACCAGCATTCCTAAAAGACAAGAGGTGACATGTGCTTTGGATTTGCTTGCCAGGCTCAGGCTATATACGTATATTAGTGAGGTTTTTCCAGAATTTGGGAACTAATTTAGGGTAGTTTTGATTTTATTTTTTTCCCGCCTGTGTTTTATGTATAATTTTCATAAAACTTTTAAGAACCTAAAAGACAGGAGCAAACTGATCTCAAATTCAGCTCCAAAGGGCCATGGCAGAACTTGATGATGAAAACGGTGTCTACATTCGATATCGTACGGATGGGAGCCTGTTCAACCTAAGGCGACTGAAGGCCCACACTAAGACCTTAAATTATCTTATCCGTGAGCTGCTTTACGCTGATGATGCCGCCCTTGTTGCTCACACAGAAGTAGCTCTGCAGCGTCTAACATCCTGCTTTGCAGAGGCTGCTGAGCTCTTTGGACTGGAAGTCAGCTTGAAGAAGACAGAAGTTTTATATCAGCCTGCACCTCAGGAAGTCTCCCATCATCCCCATATCACCATTGGTGAAACAGAACTCAAATCAGTCCAGCAGTTTAGTTACCTGGGTAGCATCATCTCAGATGGTAACATTGATGCAGAAATAGACAGCAGGTTAGCCAAGGAATACAGAGCTTTCGGTAAACTCCATAAAAGAGTGTGGCAAAACAAACACCTGAAGAAAAGTACAAAGATCAGCGTTTACAGAGCTGTTGTACTGTCTACTCTTCTATATGGGTCCGAATCATGGGTCATTTACCGGCACCACTTGCGTCTCTTAGAACGCTTCCATCAGCGCTGCCTCCATACAATCCTAAACATCCACTGGACTGACTATGTGACCAACACGTCTGTCCTTGAACAGGCAGCAATCACGAGCATTGAGGCCATGCTGCTGAGAACACAGCTGTGCTGGGCAGGGCACGTCTCCATGATGCAGGATTGCTGCCTCCCTAAGATTGTGCTCTATGGGGAACTTGCCACTGGTGCCGCAAGAGAGGAGCCCCAAAGAGGAGATACAAGGACTCCCTGAAACAATCCCTCATCCTTGGCCATATTGATCATCACCATTGGTCTACCCTGGCCTCCAATCGGGAGGCCTGGAGACACACCATCTATAACGCTGCTGCTGCTTTTGAGAACACACGCAGGATCACTCTCGAGGAGAAAAGACAACGCAGAAAGAATCGCGTCTCGTCGATATCACCTGGGGAGTCTTTCTGCTGTGCCTTCTGCAACCGGACTTGTCTGTCTCGCATTGGCCTTTTTAGCCATCAGCGCTCTTGTAGCAAGCGTGGGTAGAGCCCTTCTCAAATCTTCGTTCGCGAAGCCTAGCCATGATGATGATGATGATGATGTCGTCCAGCCTGGAACTCTGAAGTTTTCTCCTAAAACTTGTGATGCTGCTCTAGGTCCTGAAGGGTCAGGACTTCTCACGACTTCAGTGACCACAGCAGGGCAATCACATGACAAGATCAGAGGGTGTTTTGGGAGGGAAATCCTGCTGCCAGATTAAAAAAAATAAAAGGTCTGAAAATTTGACTGCTAAAAGCAGTTAAAAAGGCAAACCCACTATTTTGGTTGCTACAAACCAATTTTCAGGGGGTTGGTGCAATCAGTCTCCAGACTCTTTTGGGACTTGCAGTAGTGTGGCTCTGTTGTAGTTCAAGCTGTCAAAAATCCTTCAGGATTTTCCTGTGTCTGCATTTCACTCAGTACTGTTTTATTAGGATATTAAACTTTCACTTGTGCTTTGTGTAGTTCCTGATATACTGTTATTTTTTTTAATTTTTTTTTACTGATAAGTGGCCAATTGCTTTGAGACCAGCACTTAAACTGCCTGTCAAGTGTCTTTGAATTGGGGCTGAGCAGACTGTGAGAGCACACAAATTGAAACATTTCTCATCATGTTCTTGGGGTGGTTTTGTTTTTTCCCTCCTAAAAATGATTACACAATTCCAGGAAACTAAATGTAGCATTTCTCCCTGAAACTAACTGGGTTTAAATAGTGGAAAACAAAGAGGAGAGGAAGTAGATGAGAGAAAAAAAAGTCAAGAGGGGAAAGGAGCACACAGAGAAAAGATTGTCCTACCCTGGAATTTCAGAGGACATGCTGACCCTGGTCACTATTATTAACATATCTAAGTTTCAAGCTCTGCAGGCTTAGGACGTGACCTTACTAAGGAATTCTGGAAGCTTTAATATTTCCCTCTGTGTTTATTTCCATCAGGCCTTAAAACTTTGAGTTTTGGGTCTCACCAAAGCTTCCATTTGATCCAGGAGCTTGTCTGACAAGCTTAGGGCACACATCCCTGCCTGGGAATTTTGTCCTTCATTGTATCCCAGCTGCAACAGAGTTCTGTGGGAATGAAGGAAATCTTGTGTGTGAAAGCCCTTCCTTCCTGACACTTGAAATGGTGATAGCTGGTAATACAAATATAAATTGATTATTGCTACGTGAAGCCGAAAACTCGAGGTATAAGGGTCTCCTGTTTATCACTTTATTTCTTTTATATTCTAAGAACACCTGAGGGCTTGAGATCCCCTTGTCAGTTGTCAAACATGCATAGAGAATAAAAACTTTCCATACCCATTCCAGACCTACAGTTTGAGTGTCCCAGCGGGTCACAGCAACTGTGACTCCATCCAAATTGCATCTTGATGCTGTTTGTTCTCGCAGCATGCTGTGTGTGCCAGCATAATGGTCATTGCAAAACACTATAAATAGGCTGGGAAATTCAGGAATCTGCATATCACTGATTGCCAAATACGTTTGCATCACTTTTCAGCTGTTACAAGACTTGGAAGAAAACCAGGGAAACCATGTCTTGAACGTTTTAAGAGATTTACTGCAGAAAAGAAATACTGGGAAGGGACTGGGAAAGGTTGTCTTGCCTAATCACAGAATGGTTTGGGTGGGAAGGAACCTTAAATATTGTGCAGCTCCAACAGGGACACCTTCCACTAGACCAGGTTGCTCCAAGCTCTGTCCAAGCTGGCCTTGAACACTCATGCTGTCTCCATAGCAGAGCTGCTCCAGCCCTCTCATCATCTTTGTGGCCTCCTCTGGACTCGCTCCAGCAGTTCCATGTCCTCCTGATGTCAGGGCTCCAGAGCTGGAGGTGGCACTGCAGGAGGGGTCTGACCAGGGTGGAGTAGAGGGACACAGTCCCCTCCTCTCCTGCTGCCCACGCTGTGGAATGAGCCCAGGACACACTTGGCTTTCTGGGCTGCCAGTTCACATTTCTGGGTCACACTGATCTTGTTGTTCAACAGACACCCCCAGTCCTTCTCCTCGGGGCTGCTCCCAATCTGTTCTCCCCCTAAGCCTGTGTTTGTGCCTGGGATTGCCCTGATCCAGGTTCAGGTGACCTTGGCCTTGCTGAACTTCACGAGGCTTGTGTGGTTCCACCTCTACCATCCCTTCCCTCACCACGCAGCTTGGAGTCACCAGCAAACTGGCTGTGACTCCATCAATCCCACACTCCCTGTCTCCCACAAAGATGTTAAATCCTTTCGCTCCAGGTGTTATCACCTAAGCCCAAATCTTTAGCAAGTGTTGGAGCTACTGAGAGCTTTCAGCGGGAGGTGTCTTGTAAAAGCATCTCTGGTGGTGTAAATGCAGGAGGTTTGCAAGAAAACAATCCTCCCCATTATGTGTTTTCAATAATTCTGTCTCAAATTACCCTTGCTAACCCTTGGTAGGCTTTTAGTATGCACATAGATGTTTTTAATACCTCCAGCATTCAGAAGGATTTTTAATGATTTGTTCAATAATTGATGTGGCTTTGGCATAATTTAGGCTTTTGTGAGAGATGGCAGACAGATGAGTGGAATATATTCAGTTGTTTAGTTTAATCATCCCTGCCTGTGAATTCTTTAGGTGAAAAGCAGTATGAAGGAATGGAGCAAGTGAGAACCTCTTGGAGAAAATTATCCCCTCAGCTGAAAACTGGAGAAAGCCTTAATTAACCTATTAATTCACTGCTTAAGTGTCTGGAAAGTGTTTTCTGAGCAGTAACACTCATTACCTTTCAGAGTTATATGCAGTTATATGGACCTTGTATTTACATCTATATCCCTGTTAGCCAATGGATTTAGTTTCTCAGCTCTTTTCCCTTAATCTTGGTAAGATACAGCAGAAAACAGGAGTTGTTCTGTTCTGGTCTTGTTTTAAATATTGAAATACTATTTAGTCTTCGATGCTAAATCCATATCTATAACCAGTTTACTTTGACAGGTAGTAAGGAGTAATGTTCCTTTAATGAGGAAAAAACCCATTGCAAGTGCTTGTTCTTTTTGTCACCATTTATATAAAATTGTTAGGCTGTTTCTGATATAACTAGAAATTTATTTAATGGTAATGATATCCCTGAAATCCTGGCACTTTTAACTGGGTATCAGTTGCGTTGCTCACTTGCTTTAAAAACAAACCAACCAAAACTCCCTAAACCCTGAGTCTGTCCTAGGGTACAAATGGATATAAAGGTTAGGAACTGAACATAATTTCAGAGGGAGAAGCTGTTTGGAGTCTAAACTCTAAAAATGGTAAGTATTGGGTGCTTCTGAACTAGAAACAAACAAGTGCAGCTTGGGCTTTTCCATTAAAAAACAAACCCAAAAGATCCCATTGTGTTTGTTTACCCAGCCTTGTAATAACATGTCACGATACACTGCTCTTCCTGATCACAGCAAAGGTGTTTATACAGCAAAATGAATTTGATTACACTATTTTGGTGTGTAATAGACATCTTTTTTGTTGTTGTTGTTGTTTTATTCACCAGGCAATCAGCTCGAAAGGTCAGCACAGCATCTCTTTCACCTTGTCCAGGAATCAGACGGTTATAGTGGAATATACTCACGATAAGGACACAGACATGTTCCAGGTAAGACTCTGCAAGACACGGATTGTGGTTTTAAAAACACAGTTCTGGATATTCTCTGTGATCTGGGGGATTTCCATGGTCTAACCCACTTGCTTTAATGTGGGAGCACTTGGAAATGTTGCTTTGTTCTGCTCTTCTCAAACCCACACCAGCATCTCTTAATATCCTTACGGACTTACTGCTCTCACTGAACTCTGCCTAGAAATGTGGACCTGTTTGGATTCGTGAATAAGCACAAAAATACACCCACCACCCTCCAGTTAGTCAAGTAGCTGGAGTGAAAAGGAGGTGGACAGGAGTAGGACATGGAGTGAGAAGGAGGAAGGTAAAATAATGTGGGAGCTGTGCCCTAAAGGAGACAAAGCAGTGATGGAGTGATAAACTGTTCCTGAGGGGTGTGCAAATGTCTCAGGTGGTATAGAGGGCTGTGCTGAGTTTCCCTGAGCTACCATCTCTTACCCAGCACGTGTTCACTCTCCCCTGTTTGCATTTGGGGTTTTCTGAAACATTTAACATCTGGTAACCTGAGTTATTTCCTTGTGCAGTGATTATTTTTATATATAATAAGAGAGCAGAAATCCTGTACAAATTTAGACTTTCAAACTTGGGGAAACGCAAGAACACGCACAACCTTTTCCATTCTGGACTGATCAGATCTGTCTTGTCTGTGACCTCTAATTAGGGCATCTCCCCAGGAATCATTATCCCTTCTCCTCCAGCTTTTCATATTTAGGAGGGTCAGCCCTTGAGTGCTGTTGACAGAAGAGGAAATAGCTCTGTCGAGTTGTCTTTGCCTCTCGTGGCTTCTGTGTTTTGCTCTATATTAAATTTTCCTGGTGTGACTGGAACTGTTAGGTCCAAATAGGAATTGTTTAAAACCCAGTCTCGTTCATTTGCTGCAGGATGAAGGATCACACACTCAGGGTGAACTGAAATAGCTTTTTGCTGTGTTTCCTAGTAAAAGAAAAATGTTCCCCATCCTTCTGGGTTACTGTGTGATACTTGTTTGTTTCTTGAGTAGCTCCAATGAAGTTTTTTCCTGTGTGTGAATTTTAAAAAGCCATTTTTGAAAGCTGGAATTTTTACACTAAAATAATTAATAAAGAGTTGCACAATAGCTGCTTTTCTGGGTGTGTTGTGTGTAGACAGCTCTCTTCTTGTTTGCGTAATGCCCTGGTGGTGGTTACAGCTTTTATTGAGGGGGATAAGTCACAGATATTGATAAAGGGTTAAGGCTTCTATATTGTTAAGATTCCTCTTTTCAGTGCAGCCTGTTTCTTCTGTCTTGAGATGTGTAGATGGTCAGGTTGTAACTTCCATGTGCTGTGTCCTGGCTCATGTTTCCGCTCCCTGTTTCCCGAGGATTACACTCCATGCATTGGCCTGGAGAAGCTGGTGAGACTGGGAACAGGAATTCTCTGGTAGGCCGTGGCAATGACTGGTTGCTGAAGTGATGCCAGACAGCAGCTTGGAGAGGTTTCCATTATAAAAACAAGCCATTAGATTTTAATTATTCCCAGTAATCTGATTGTGGGCAGTTGGAGAGAAGTTACTCGAGGAGTGTTTTGTGCAGCCCTGTGGGATGTGATGACAAGTTACTTGTCTGTTGATCCACAGAACGAAGTTTTATTGTTGATCAAGCATCACTTGGACAGGCAATCCTTGGAATTCCCTGTTTTCTTTCCAAATGTGTGTTTTCCTGGATAGAGTAGCACACTAAGGATGCGGAGGTTGAAGAAGAAGGATAATGCCTGGACCACAGGATTATCCTGAGCATGGAGGCCCCACTTTGATGCTGTTAATATGTATTATCTTGGGCAAATCACTTGGCTTTTTTCAAATCTCCACTTCTTCCCCCTGTGGAATGGGATGGTTGCACTGCAGGAGTTCCCCAGAGTAACCACAGGAAGGAACATGAGAAGCTTTGCATGGAGGTTTTAACATTTTAGTCAGGGAGATCCAAAATAGGGAAGAGGGATGCCAAAAGGTCAGGTCCCATTTCTAACCTGTGTGGACTGAATCCAGAGGGTTAAAGCTGCTTTCCTGTGAAAATAAGGGAGGTTCAGTTCACAAAAAAGCTGTCACTTTTTCCTTCATCCACTTTAATTAAGGAGTCTGTTGTCAGTCCTTTTCTTTGAAGGGAAATGGGAGAAGTGGTGTGTTGGTGACTTGTAGTCTGCAGTTTTACCAGAAACAAACAAGAATATTTTGAAGATTATAAACTCAGAACAGCTTGTTTTATGCTTTCCAATCTTCAAACCAGGAAGAAGCACGAGTAGGTGCTTATCTAAAGTGGATACATGGATTTTTCCATACATGGAAAATATGGGACACTATGCAAGGGACAGGAAGGAAATTCAGAAGACCCTGAAGAGCAGTGTTCAGGCTGTCTAAATACCATTTTTCTTGACGTTTTTCCCTAATGAAAGGAAAATGACCATATTTTTGATGGGATGAGAATGGGTTGATTATAGCAGGAACCAAAATGTGTAGCTTCTACCCTAAGTAACTCACCCAAGGAGCGGATGCATTCAATATGAAACGTGGATTTCTTGCTGAAGAACAGCCCTTGAGAAGATGCATGGTCCAGTTCTCCCTCTCCTCACAGTGGAATTCTGTTGGACACCAAGAATGTGCAGCTGTTAAATTATCTGCTGGCAGGTTTTCTGCTTCTGCCTTGTCTCAGGAGGGAGTGTTTTTAATAGAACTGCTGTGATTGGCAGTAGACACGAGCAAACTGATTGACTGCCTGGCTCCTACACAGCCTTCAACCATCACCTGCAGTGGGGACAACAGGCTCTGTCTTAGGCATCACTTGGAAGGTTTATGGGTTGTTGTTGGAAGCAGCTTTGTGAAATAATGTGTGATATGACACAGTTAAGAAGAAGGAGTCCCAAAATACAGCCTGAAATGGGTAGAAAGGAGAAAAAGTCTTCTGTGCTGCAGAAGGAAAATGAGTAATGAAGTGTGTAAAAAGTAGCTCTGAATAATGGAGTTAAGTGTGTAGTGACTGTGGTCTGACTGCAACAACAGATGAGCTCAAGTTTTTGGTGGATAATTTTAAAAACATCAAGTTCTTCATTTATTCCCATGGGAGTTTCTTGTCAGATCATCTCAAAACCAAATTCTTGATTGGATACAGAGCATGAAGAAATTGCCAGGTTTTGAAGGCCACTTCTTAAAATGTGAAGTTCTGATGTTGAAAAGTAGCACAATACATGACTGATCCTCTAGAAGGCTTTCTCCACAGGAAAAGAAAAAGGGAAGGAAACCAAATATTTGAAATATTCGATGTCTCATAGACATGCTTGTGAAACGGATGAGATCAGTAAAGTACTTACTGTATTTATATAACATATCACTTGTCATTTCAGAGATTTTAAAAACCACATAAAAGCTTTCTTTTATAGATTTTAATGGTTACATCCAAACATATTTGTATTTCATGCTACCAATTAGTGTGATGTGAGGAAGACTGGAAGCAAGCACTTGTGTGTTTTGTCATCCTTTAAGGAAGAGTGAGGCAGGTTTTTCTCTAATTGCATCTAAAAGCTTTGAGAGAATGATCTATTTCAGAGCCTGCAACAGGCAGGAACTTGTTATGAACAAATTAATTTCATGTTTGTCGTTGATTATCCTTCAAGAAACTCCACACAGAGAATAGTCAAAAGTTATTCATAAGGTTTCTGGTGCTGACTCTTAACAGGAATTGCACTGGATGAGAAATAGAAGCCTGTTAGAAATAGTACTTTAAAAAGAAGAAGAATATTGCTTTGTGAATTTTAGCTTCAAGTTGTCAAGTTCGATATATCAAAAAAGTCCCATATTAAACAGTTTCTAAACTCTGTCTCTGGGGTGTTCTGGGAGTGAAAAATTGAAATGTACACTTTTGATTAGGCCTTTTTGAGTGTTTCCTCTGCAGCAAACTCTTCACAATTTCTGCTTGGGCTGAGACCTGGGAGGTGGAGAAAATAACTGGATGTGTCACATCAGATGGGAATTTTGACATGTGTTGGAGTGTAACCCTGCAAAGTAGAGCTTGAAGCAGAAGAGGAGTACAGGAGAGATCCCTGTACTATTTCTGTCAGTTCAGTTGGGCCAAGAGTTAGGTATTAATAATATTACTTTCCTCAACTCCTGAATAATGTTCCTTGGCAGCAGATTTAGTTTGCAGAGATGTTTGTTAATGATGGAACCACACATACCTCCCCATATTGCTTTGAAGAGCAGGAACTAAGCAAATGTAACTTCTTGGGGGACAGTGAGATCCTGTGCAGTGAGGAGGCCATTTTATATGAAAGTAGGTGCCTGATATTGAAGGTAGTTTCATGTGAAGAATATTCCTAATTCTGTTTGATCCCAAGGTGTCTACAAAATTAATATTCTGTTCCTCTCCTTGTTCCTCAGCTCCTCTTCCCAGTTATGCTCAAAATTGGTGTAACACTAATTTGCCTGTAGAAACATTGATAAAGCCTCACTGTATGTTTGGTTGGCAGTCAAGATTCCCTCTGTCCATGTGTCATGAAGTGTTCCAGATGCCTGGATGGTCCCAGTTTTAGAATTAAATCTCCTAGATGGCAAAATAGAAAAATATTCTTGTCCGCTGATCAAGTGTGTTTCCTTTCTGCTGGAGGAAGTTTATTAATTCTGTTAATCATGTGGTGGGTTTTTGCCTGAAAACTCTTCTTTCTGGGACTGCCAGTTCTGAAAACGTGAAGGTGGGTATCTTTTTGTTATGATGTGGCTAAAAAAAGTCCTTTATTTTCATGGCAAATTTAACTTGGAACTGGAAACGTAAATAAAACTTGTCAATCCGAGCCAGGGTTTCCTCAACTGACAGAATATAAGTCATTTGCTGTGGTTGGATGAGGAAGTACAAGGTGATAATACTTTTTTTGTTGACAATACTTTTATCAAAGCAATCAGCTCTGTTGATTTGTTTCAAGCAAACATGAACATCAGTTGTGGTAGGTGAAAATTTGCCATTCCGTGTCAGTGAGGTATTTCTGCCTGTGACAAATACAGGTTAGTCTCTGATTGCATCTTGCCATCCAAAAAATTGAGTAGACAGTAGTTTACTGATGCCATCAGTATTAACTTGGCAGAACTGTGTCCTCAGTGCTTCACATTTCCATGGGTGTTTCTATTTATATTTTTATCTTAATTTTTTTTTTCTTTTTGCAGGTTGGGAGGTCCACAGAGAGCCCCATAGACTTTGTAGTAACAGATACTATTTCTGGAAGTCAAAATAACGATGAAACCCAGATCACCCAGAGCACCATATCCCGCTTTGCCTGCAGGATAGTTTGTGACAGGAGCCCACCTTACACAGCGAGGATCTTTGCAGCTGGCTTTGACTCGTCTAAAAACATATTTCTTGGTGTAAGTACTACTAATAATTGGTATGAGCAAGCTCTGGGTTTTATTCTCTGCTATTTTCAAACCCCAAAACCTCCTTGTACTGGTTGATAACTTACACTGTCATTAGGCTTTTATTACCCCAAAGTACCAGCTGCAGTGTTAAGTAAGAACTGCAGTTTTATGTGCCTGAGTTATGAGCAGCAGAGACTCGTGGTCATGATTGTCTTGAGCAGTGGAGCTCCACTTCAGTAACTGCTGGTGGGTTTTCTTCAGGTGTGTTTTGATTTCTTTTGATGTGTTTTGATTGCCACACGCAGGAAAAAGCAGCAAAGTGGAAAAATCCCGATGGCCACATGGACGGACTGACAACCAACGGGGTGCTGGTGATGCATCCCAAAGGAGGCTTCACGGAGGAGTCCAAGCCCGGAGTGTGGCGGGAGATCTCGGTCTGTGGGGATGTGTACACGCTCCGGGAGACCAGGTCTGCCCAGCAGAGGGGGAAACTGGTGAGTTGGAAGTGGCTGGTGATTGGAACAAAACAAGGGATGCTTGTTTTCCTGGCACTCCGTGGAGGCAGTTGTAGGGTGACTGCAGAGTAATGATGTTGTCCCTGGGTGGTGTGCACCGGGAGCATTTAAATGTCCATGTGTCACAGCAGGTTCTGCACTGCTCTCCTGTTCCTGATGTACAGGAGAACACTCTAAATTCTGTGCTGAAGCCACTTTCCCAAGTGAAACAGCACAGAGAGTAAAGGCTAAATAAACTCTGCTCTTGGATCTCCATCTCTGCAACGTTCTCCTGGGATCTGGGGCTGTCTGGAAGTTACTGCACGGGGAGCTGTCTTTTGCAGTGCTGTCTGAAGGGTCCACTTGCATGCAGAAGCAGTTTGGGTAACACACCTTCTGTTTGATTTACCTGCCACTAGGAAGATAAGAGAAGGCCTGAAAGTATACTCCTGTTTTATCCTGTGAAGCAGGATGGGCTTTACCTTTGCCAGAAGTGAGAGATTTCAGCTGCCAGAAACCTGTGACATTCATAACCAGGAGAGAGGTTCCATAAAAGCATGAGTGCACTTTTCAGTACAAGATGGGAGGGAATTCCCATAGCTTTTGTTCTTTCCTCTTCCCAAGATCTGTAGAGCCTACAAAGGCAAACGCATTTTATTTTTTCCTTCGGGGGCAGAAGGAAAAAGGCATAAGAAATGACAGCAATCAAACACCACCATATAGACAGGGGGAATATCCTCCTCTTCTTCATGCCAAAGTTACATCTGTGTTACTACCCCAAGTTCCCGTCGGCCCGATGGTGTTGGAGGGATCCCACACGCTCCCACTGAACTTCCTTTCCAGCTCTGCCCTTGGCTTTGCAGAAAACTGACTGCTCAGGGAGTTATGGAAATGGAGTTGGACTGTTCTGCTTTCAGCAGACACCCTGCAGGACATAAATTGCTTTGTCACTTTTAACAGTGGCAGGCGAACGTTGCCCGGGGACGGGGACAGATGATGTGGCAATTGCACCCTTTGTACGTGGTTAGCAGAACACCTTTTTTAGAGCTGCTGAAGAAAGGCACAGCGAAACAAATGAATTCCCTTCCCTGCATCCAGAATGACTCGAATTCTCATTTAAATAAAATTACATGGCACGCTGGTATTGATGTGATCAGTACTCGTTGATTGGGTTCATAAAACCAAACACAGGCTTGTATAATGAATTGAACACGTTGCGTATGAGGGAGCTTTTCTTGCTTTGCTGTTTGTGAAGGAATTATCTGAAAAGAGCATCAAATCAAGGCTTCTCTCTCATCTCCACTTGGGCCCACTGAATTTTTCTGCTGGAAGTATTTTGCACTGGTGACCTCTTATCTGTGGCCTGCACTGTGCCACGGAGGTGTTTTGTGCAAGGATGATCCACAGTTAATCTGTGAATTTAAACTGGATTAAAATGTAAATGCCAAATTGGTTGTCATTCATAGTATTCTGAGGCAGACACGATGGTTTCATGTGACCTACTTAATGTATTTGTTTGCATTTGGGTGTTTGTTTTGCATTAGTGGTATTTTCTGCATACTTTGTTTGTATAAAGCCAGGCAGTAGGTCTGTTTTCCCCTTTAATTTCATAAAGAACTTTTTTAATGTATATTCATCATTACTGAACTGATAACAGAAGCACAACCTACTTATATGTTGGTGACATTAAAATCAGGAATATTTCAGTGAAGTACAATAACAAAATGTGTTTTTGTCATAATCCCTTGAAAATGTTTCAAATACCTGCTTTTAATCAGACAAGAGAAGCCTTTGGGCAGTGCACACTGGGGCTGTATTTGCATGGAATACCTGAACTGTCCTGGATAGCAGTTTTTAGTCCAAAAAGGATTTTTTACTGAGTGAGCAGCCTCTGTGTCATTCTCTGTGGGCAAAGAATTCCAGGAGAGAACCTGCTAATGCAGCCCTTAGGGAATGGCAAGTCTCCTCCTCAGTCTATCATGACTTACTGAACTGTGACAAAGGCACACAGAGAATCAATATTAGAGAGGAAAAGTGCATGCTCAGGGATGGTGGGGGGATATCCTTTCCCAAGGAATTGCAGGCAGGAAGACTCTGTATGATAATTAGTGTTGCAGTTGGAGATGCTGAACCTCCTGTACAAGCACAGAATAAGAAACCAATGCTTATTAGGGCAAGAGGGCACAGCCTTAAGCTGTGCCAGGGAAAGTTTAGGTTAGACATCAGGACAACATTTCTTAGAGAGAGGGAGTTGTCAGACATTGGAATGGGCTGCCCAGGGAGGTGGTGGATTCACCGTCCCTGGAGGTGTTTAAGAAGAGACTGGCTGTGGCATCAGTGCCATGGTCTGGGTGAGAAGGTGGTGTTGGATCATGGTTGGACTTGATGATCTCAGAGGTCTTTTCCAACCTAGTTGATTTTGTGGTTCTGTTCTTATAGTCTTAAATACAGATTAAGATTTGAGGTGGATTCAGGCAGAGGAGGGGCCACGAGGCAACAATAAGACAAAATGAAGTAACTTGGTGACGCTTTGGCGAGCAAGACGCGTTTGCAGAACTAAGTTGGTTGTCTGTACCTCAGGCTGAACTTCACCTCCCTTTGTGTCCCACCGCCAGGTAGAAAACGAGACCAACATCCTCCAGGACGGCTCCCTGATCGACCTGTGCGGGGCCACCCTGCTGTGGCGAACAGCGGACGGACTGCTGCACACCCCGACGCAGAAGCACATCGAGGCCCTGCGGCAGGAGATCAACGCCGCCAGGCCGCAGTGCCCCGTGGGCTTGAACACTCTGGCCTTTCCCAGCATCAACAGGAAGGATGTGGTGGAGGAGAAGCAGCCCTGGGCCTACCTCAGCTGCGGCCACGTGCACGGCTACCACAACTGGGGCCACCGCAGCGACACGGAAGCCAACGAGCGGGAGTGCCCCATGTGCAGAACCGTTGGCCCCTACGTGCCGCTCTGGCTGGGCTGCGAGGCCGGTTTTTACGTGGATGCAGGGCCCCCCACCCACGCCTTCACCCCCTGCGGACACGTGTGCTCGGAGAAATCCGCCAAGTACTGGTCCCAGATCCCGCTGCCTCACGGGACTCACGCGTTCCACGCCGCCTGCCCGTTCTGCGCCACGCAGCTCTCCGGGGAGCACAACTGCGTCAAGCTCATCTTTCAGGGCCCCATCGACTGATGCCGCCGGGCAGTGACCCCCAATAAAAGTTTTCTTTAACGATTTACTGTGAAGATTTTTGCCACTAACTTCTAGATTTTACCCCTTTTTTTTATAATGTTATTGATTGATAGGGGGGGTGGGCGGGGCAGGGCTGGAGGGGCTGGGGTGGAATTGGGATACATTGATACCTGGAACTCGACAGATATCAGTGGTTGTTGCATGCTCAAAAGCAGCATATTCATGAAGTCTTCTCGGTCAAATTGTAGTATATTTGTAATCTTTTTATTAGTACCCTGGATCAGAAAAAAAAAAGGTGTCTTAAATGATTTTTTTAAGCGAAGATTTTTTAATGGAAAGGTTTTCTCTTCTAAACTTTGACAAGCCTTTAAAACCTATTTTTCAAATCTAGAAGGAACGTACAGAATGTAACTTGTCTTTAATTTGCAATATAATTTAACTTGAATAGTTTCTCAAGGAGCTAATACAGAATGTGTGGACAACCAGAGGTGAATGTTCACTAGAGATAATTGGGTATGTAAGAGAAAAATTAGTTGCCTAAAGTGTAGAGCATAAAAGCTATTAAAATATCTATTATGGTATAACACAGCTGGCCAAAAAGGCATCAAAGATTACTTGAAACTGAGGAAATCCTGTTTGTATTGATTTCCTTTCAGTGTAATAGATCTCCACTGGCCATTAGGTGTGGGAGATGGCTGATTTTTTTCTGTCCTTTTTTTTTTTTTTTCCTGCATCTGGTAAAACCACTTTACTCTTTTGAATACTTAAGTTTTAAACCAATGTTTTCTGTGTCTGTGTAGTCTGGCCTTTTTATTTCTGCTTAACTTAGCTTGGCACATCCAGCACCCTGGGGGTGTGTGGAGGTCGTGAAACCACAGAAGGGTTGGAGTTGGAAGGGACCTCCAAAATCATCCAGTTCCACCCCCTGCCATGGGCACGGACACCTTCCACTAGACCAGCTTGCTCCAAGCCTCATCCAACTGGGAACACTTCCAGGGATGCAGCCAGGCTTTACTGCAGGGATGAAGGGGGTGGTGCCACACGAGCTTTAGGTACAGCTTACACAGAACTGATTGACATAAACTTGAATTCAGGAGAGCACTTAGAGTTTAAATGTAAACCCACTGACTGGGACTGTTTTCAAGTTTCTCAAGTGCTTCAGTGCATCGTGGCTACGTGGTGTTACGTTTAAAATAAAAAAAGCAATTTCAAATAAGTGATTTTTTTTTTTTAAGCTCACTGTAAAGCATTTTGGCTGGAAGGGGAGCATCATTTCCAGTTCAGCTGAGAATTTTTGTTCACTTCTCAACTTGCTGCCATCTGTCACCTTTTTTTTTTTTTTTTTTTCTTCAGATTGAGTTGTGTTTGTATCTTTCCCCCCCCCTCCAAATGTTTGCAAATCAAACAACATTCAAATGTAATCAAATATATTCACTGGGGTGGTACATCTGAAGTGGATCACTTGAAATTCCTGACTTTTTAAGAGAGCTGATAAATGTTTACTATGGAAGTAATTAAATCAGAATTTCATATGAGATGTACCCTGCCCACTGTTAGGCTCATTTCATGCAGAGTAACAATTCTTTGATTTGTGTTTGGTTGTTTTTTTTTTTTCCTTATGCTTTCTGTATTCTTGGTATCTGAGGTATCAATCTATCCAGGTTAAACAAAAAAAAAAAGAGAATTTGGGAAAAATTTATAACATCTCTAGGTGAAAATTGATCATTCAAGCTCAGTTCTGTTTAATCAAGTATAGCTTTTTGCTATGTTTGTGCCCTTTGTATAAATATATAATTTATATGATTTTAATATATTCTGTATATATATACTTGAATTGGCCTGTTCATATTTTGGTTGTAAAATTGTTTTATAGTTAACCTTATAAACATTTTACATGTCCCTTGCCAGTGGTGATGGGATGGACTTTGTCTGCTGCTGTTTTTAATATGATTTTGCTGTATACCTGGTCAGCATTTTAATAATTTGAAAAGAGCTTTACTTTTCTTTTTACGCTTCTACTGTTTAAAAAACAAACAAACAATTCTGCAGCATTTTTTTTCCTAGAAATCCCAAACTGTACGATTTTGGGGTTTTTTTTGTCCCACTCAGTCACTGGAAATAGGATGAATCCTGTTAACCTAAAACTATGTGCTTCTTCCTAGTGCCTTTTCAATGAGATCCTCTTGTGGTTCCCTGTATTCCGAGTCCTTGCTCCCACAGGATGACCTTGTGGCTGAACTTCACCAGGAGCAGCCGCCCAACCACGTTGGGAAGGAAACAAACGCCTCTGGCCTCCAATTCCTGGTCCCAGACGTGAAGGTGCCTCTTCCTTGTTCTCTCCAGCCCAGCTTCCTCAGGTCCCACCTTCCCCCTGTTTAGCAGATACCTCATCTGGGAGAGGCAGCCTCGTCTCCACCTCCTCCTGCTGGACTCGGGAATGCTTCACCTCGTTCCTCACAGGAGACCCTCTGGAAAACACGCTTTCAGGAATGGCTCCTGGGTGGATTAAGGCTGGGAGCTGCGTGCTCCAGAGGTCTGGAGCTGCAACGCTTCCCAGGTCTGCCTGGCATGCTGAGCTGAGCGGGACTTGCTCGTGTTTTGCCTCCCTCTGAGCCTGAATGGATTGTAAACACTCTGGCTCCCAGGATCCCACCTCTGCTATCCAGCTGCTTTCCTCCTTTCCTTGGCTGTTGAAGTTTGGCTGCTGCTTCAGGGCTCCACGGAGCTGTGCCCTGTGGGAAGTGAATGCCCAGTGTTGGAGGGATCCTCCCTGGGAGCACTGGCACGCCATCAGTGTGTTTGGCTTGTGTGGAGCAGAGCACTGGATGGATAATGGTTTGTATCCATGGGAAGGGGCTGTTGGGAACGACTTAAACAGGAGTTTTTGCTTTTGGCTGTCGGCAGTTCTGTGTAACACAAGGCATGCTGCAGGGAGGAGATCTTTCAGAATTCCATAGTGGAACAGGTTGGAAGGGACCACAGTGGGTCATCTGGTCCCGCCGATCTGCTCAAGCAGGGTCATCCCAGAGCACATGGCACAGGATTGTGTCCAGATGGTTCTGGAATTTCTCCAGTGAGGGAGACTCCAAACCCTCTCTGGGCAGCCTGTTCCAGTGCTTGGGAAATGAGTTCTTCCTCGTGTTCAGGTGGAACTTCCCGTGCATCAGTTTGTACCTGTTCCTTCTTGTCCCACTGCTGTGCACCCCCCAGCAGAGCCTGGTCCATCCTCTTGCACCCCCCAGTCAGATATTTATACACATGGATGGTGTCCCCTCTCAGTGTCTCTTCTCGAGGCTGAACGAGCCCAGCTCCCTCAGCTTTTCCTTGGAAGGGAGGCTCCAGTCCCTTGATCCTCCTTGTTCCCTGCACTGGGCACACTCCAGGAGCTCCGTGTCACTCTGGCTCTGAGGAGCCCAGAACTGGACACATCACTCTGGATGTGGCCTGAGCAGGGCTGAGTGGAGGGGCAGGATTCTTGTCTGGGGAGCAGTTTTCCATGGCTTATGTAGAATCCAGGGGTTTCACCATTAGCCAGTGTTCAAATCCAGGATGAGCCCTGCAGAGCTGGATTTACTGGGGAGGCGGAAGAGTTCGCAGCGTTATCTTTCTCAACCCCTGCTGCCACATGTCCTGCTCCAGGGAAATGATGGACTGTTGGCCCTTCCCTCGTTTCCATAAACAACACCTCTATTTTGGTAATTACAGGAAAAAGGACTTGTGGATAAATAAGACTAGAGTGAGTGAACTTGAGAACCACCCTCCAACTTTGCCTTAGAAGTTTATTTCGTGATTTCAGTGTTCCTTGCATCCCATTTCCAATGCTGGCAACGTATTCCATAAGGATTTTTTTTTTTTTCACCTGTTACTGTTGATTTGATTTGAACGCTTCAAAACCAGCTTTGACTGCATAACTTAGAGCTCAAAAGTATTTTTCTAGTCTGATCTTTTTTTTCTTAAAAAAAAAAAAAAAGCATCTGTCATATCCATGCACACTGGAGCTGGAACAGCTTTCCTTTTTCCTGGCAGCTTTTTGGTAAAGGACTGAAGTCTAAAGAGACAAAATGGGTGGTGAGCCTGGTTCCTGCTGGGAATTGTGGTCCAGTTGTACAGAAATGTTCCTAGAGGTCATAGTAATCAAGGCAGGATTTTATTTTTTTTCCACTGTGAGGGTGGGAATGGGAATGGGAAGAAATTAAAGCCACTGTTGGGCTGCTTCCAGTAGGGACAGACCCACCTTGAAGCAAAGGCGTGCCAGGAACCAGTCAGGAATGTGATGGAAGCTATTCCTGCTCTCAGACCTCATCCATGCCCTGAAAAGGGTTCTCCTCAGTTTGTTAGGAAGCTCTGGGATACCATGGAAAAGGCTGTGATCTTCCCAACCAAACATTCTTCTCTGTTTTAATGGCAAATGCAAATGCACCTCTGAAATGAGCTGGGCTTGTCTGTTCCTACAGGAGCTCTCTGTTTTCCCTGTGACTGTTGCTAACATGCCATGTTGGATGCAAAGTGAATCCAGAGGTAGAGCTGTTGATTGAGGAGGTGGGAAGTGAAGCCTGTCAGGTGCTTGAGCCCAGTGCCAATGATTCCTCCTCCTCGTTTCCTCATTTTTCAGCCTCTTGTGAGTTCTTGGCTCCTCATTTCCTATTTATCCATGTAGTTGCAGGTAAACAAGTAAGTACAGCTTGGAAGGAGAACAAGCAAGGAAGAGAATCACACAGATCCCTTCAGGCTTGCTTAGCTATCGGAGGAAAACACAAACTGGAGTTGCCAGTGTCCTTTTTTTTATCCCCTTATTGTTCTGGTGTTTCTGAGCACTCATCACAAGTCTGCACACTTGGTGGTTGTGAGTTTTAAAGGAGAAACTTAGAAGGTAAGGCTGGTTTTTGGGGGTGGGGGGTGGAGAGGGGATAGTTTCTAGGATGTGGTGGTTCATCCCACTGACTGCAGCAGGCACTTGGATCTTGGAAGGGCAGTGGAGTCACCCTGGACAGGCAGCAGAGGTGGAGCTTTGCTTTCCTGTGCTGATGGGAGTTTATTGGCAGCAGAACCAAAATAGGAATTGTTCAGATACCCAAACTCCAGGTGAAACCTGTGTCTGTCAAGA